GCCCTGCCCGTGCAGGGGGAGCTGCCCAGGAGGGGCTGCCAAGGGAGGGGAGAGCTGCCTCCCCCACGGACAGCCCTCGGGGCTTGGGGACAGACCCAGGTGCTGGCGTAACCCCATCCTCTCCCACCTTCCCTGCGGCTGGGCTGGTCCTTGTGTCCCCAGGGCACAGCTGGGAGCTGCTGCGGGTGTGATGCCGGTGGTGGGACTGTTCCCAACTCACCCCGTGGCTCCAGAAGCCCTGTAGCATCGCCGGGCTTTGCTGCTGGGGTTACGCTCCTCCCACGGGGACCTGTCAGGTGTCAGAGCCGGCCACAGCCTTGGCCTCCGGCTTCCTAAACCGCTTCCTTCCTGGATGCTGTGGTGAGATGGTCACTTGGCTGGACACCTGCCTTTGTCAGGGCCGACCCCGTCTGATTGCTGCTGTGATCCTTGGTGGGAAGCCACCCTGCTGGCAGGGTGTCCCTGAGAGAGCAGGCCGAGTCACAGGCAGCCTGTCCCGGGCAGGACAAGCCCCCACCCCTCCACCCCTGAGCTGACATGCACCCAACCCATGAGCCCCTCTCCCACCCCTCAGGTGGAAGAAAGACCACAGCCCTCTCCTGTCCCCAGCACCAAGCCAGTGGCATCGCCCAGCTGCAGCTCCCGGCAGCTGCCTCTGAGTTACTGTGCTGGAAGAGTCAGCAGTGCAGCCAGGCTGAGGACAGCCCGTGCAGGGGAATCCCTTGGCCTCCCCTAAGAAAGGCCAAAGGCAGCAGAAGAAAGAGGCCAGCCAAGCTTGTTCGATAGCTTTATTGCTTCTGTGATATGACTGAATTGATGTGACATAAGCCGGCTTGGAGGAAGGAGCCTGCAAGACTCTTGCCCTCCCTGCCTAGAGGGGAAATTAAAAAAATTGCAGAAACTAAAACTAATTTTAAAAACTCATTGAGTTCTTGCATCTCAGCTTGGTACAGTACTGGTGAGCGCAGTGGCCTTCGGAGCGAGTCCCTGTGCAGGCTCTGCGAGGAGCCGGCGCCTGGAGCGGCTGGGTAGCGGCCCGGGTCGCCCGCCCCAAAGGACACGTCTCTAATACTGTGTGTGATGGACGCCTGGACCGACGGCACGCGCCGTGCTGGTGCCGGTGGAGCTCAGCATGTCTGCCTCCCTGCCAGGCAGCCTGGAAGCCCTTGCCCATCCCCAGTACTGCCCATCCCCAGCCTGCCTGTCCCTTTTGATACAGCCAGCCAGCCCTGTCCTGACACCTTCCCCCTCTGCCAGCGGCACCCACACTAAGGGGTGACACCACAGGGCAGGGCAGGGCCTCCCCGCTGCCCCCTCCCAGGAAAAGGAGACGCTGGAAGCCCAGAGATGTTGGGCTGCGGGATGCTGGGCCGCAGAGGATCCTGCTCCTGCCTTGTGCTCCCCGGCTGCGGTGCCTCCATTTGGCACACGTGAGCTTAAGCTTGAGGCCACAGCATGGCCAGCCCTAATGGGGTGAGCTGGTGGAGGGAGCCCGACGCCAGGGTGGTGGGCACTGGGGAGGGCTGTGCACCTCAAATGCACAAGCAGCCCGTGCTCATGGCGTGGTCAGTCCTGCAGCAGTGCTCTGGCAGCCCCTCTCCCCCCCGAGCAGGACGTGCTGGCTGACCTGCAGCATCCCAGATCTGCTCTCTGCACCAGCCAGAGCAAATCCCTGCTGTGGGAGCTGGCTCCCCGACCTCCCTGCACTTCCCCGGCCTCTCTCTAGGCAGGTTCCCTGCCACCCAAGTGGCTTTTCTGCAGCGCAGCGCGTCAGAGGTGCCAGGCAACCCCACTCTATATTTAGGCTGTGGAGAATTCCCCTGGGCTCTCCCTTCCGAGCTGAAAAGGTGAGTCACTGCAAGGGAGAGGCCAAGACTCACATCCGTCCCACTGACCCTGCTCTGACCCGTGTGCATCGCTCCGAGCTGGCAGGACTGCAGCGTTTCGGAGGGCGGGAGGTGGCTGCAGGTGCACCCGGGGAGGCAGCCAAAGGAACAGCATCCAGGAGCAAAACCCAGCGCCGCGCACTGCTCCCGTGGCTGGGGTGCACATCCTCATCGCCTAGCCATAGGGCTGCTCTGTGGATGTGCTCGCCTCAGCAGTGTCAAATGGGACAGTGAGTTAGAGGGGAGCCTTTGGCCCCCAAGTAACCCCCCATCCTCTCTTTTCTTCTACTTGCAGGTGGTCCTGACCCACCACAGTCACCCTGGGCCATGTGCTCAACTATTTAGCCTGGGCACTTCTGACTGAAGATCCCCACCAAGATGGAGGGAAGGGCTTGGAATCACCACCCTTGTCTGCAGGGACAGTCTCCCACCAGGACCTGTCCCAGGCCATGGCGGGGAGCTGGGATGCCAGGGAAAGCAGAGCAGGGGCGATGCTCTATCCTTGGACCTGGAGTCCGTGAGCCAGAGATAAAGGTGCCTCATAGCTTTGTAAGGCTCAATAAAACAGACTAAATCAAACTAATGCCATCACAAGCCTCCATGGGGGTGCTTCCCCCACAGGGGTGGAAAGGAGCCCAGCATGGACACCAAAGGCTCTTCACCTCCCTCCTCCTGGCTGCAGCCACCCGCTGTCCAGCATCTCAGCTCACTGTAGCACATGGATGTGGCCCATCACCGCACCATTGCCCCAGGGGTCCCATAGCAGCTGGTTAAAGACCCTGTTCAAGCACCAAGGTGGAGGGCCGAAGGCGGGGGCCCACCGTTCCCCAGCCACAACCTTTGCCAGGTCCAGCCCAGGCACCCCCCCTGCCACCAGGGCAGGCACCCTATGGACGATGGTCCCAGGTCCAGGCTGACACACAGGAACCACAAAGGGAGTGTCGCCTGGCGAGAGCCATGGAAATCCAGTCCCTTGGGCTCCTTGAGCAGGAAAAACAAATTGAGGGAGAATATTGAAAGGAGTATCTGCCACAGCATACGCTCAAAAACCTGCTGGAAATCCCAGCTGTCCATACTGGAAACCTCACAGAGCATCGTGGGGGGAGGCATGTACCAGGGGGAGCAGGGACTGCCTGGCTGGGAGGCCAGAAGGACAGGGGAGGGGACATGGGAAGGGGAAAGGGAAGGGAGAGTCTCCCAGCATCTGTCTTCTGTGGCCTGGAAGAGGCAGGATCTTTGAGCTGCTCCCAGATTACAAGGCAAGCAGCAGCCATGACCAGAAGCTGGACAGGACTTGCCCCTAAGGATCTCCTTGGCTACGGGCACACCATGCAGGAAAGGCTCCTGAGTGGCACATCCCATGCCAGTCTGTGGGGAGCGGCCAGCACCATGTCCTGAGAGCTGTCTCTACCTGCAGCCTGGTCTCAAACCAGTTCATACAGTTTGCTCCTCTGTCCCACGCCTGGGTCATTGCCTGCCCCTCCTGCACATCGCCTCTGGGGTCTCAGCCCCAGAGCCAGAGCAGCCCAGGGGAACCATGTGAGCCTGGCTCTGGGCATCCCTTGCCCATGCTAGGGCCACGTTCTCCTTTCAGCTCAGAGCAAGGCAGAATGCAATCCTTGGGCTATGTCAGATGCAGCGCCAGGACCATGAGCCCAGCCAGCATCCCTCTGGGATCCCCGTCCACTGACTCCAGCACTGGCTGGCTGCACACTAGTGCCTCAACACACAGGGACTTGGCTTGGGACAGTGCCCGTGGGTGCAGTCCAGCCTGCTCCAGGCTAGGAGAGCGTGGGATCCCATGTCCACCTGTAACCATTCCCCTGGCAATCCCCATTCTGCCCATGCTCTCTAGGTGGGTGAGACCACCCTGCTGTTCTTGCACTCGGCCATGTTGCTCAGTTTATTCCAGCTCCTCTGAAATACTTCTACAAATCAAATGTGCAAATACTGCATCTTGGGACCAAGACGGCAAAGGAAGGAACGTGCTCCTGAGAGCAGGAGGAGCCGTGGTGCTAGAGCAGCACGGTAAGAGCTTGGAAATGAAGTGAGCAGGGGCTGAGAATAGGGTGACGGTTTCCAGCAGGCCCCTTATCCGTGCCAGCAGGCTCCATCATCACTGAGGTCACACGTCGCTTAAATAGGGAACATGATTGAGTCTGGAACGTAAAACAAACATCTTCAGCAGCCTGCTCTCAAACTGTAAAGCTTCAGATCTCTGCGCAAGATCTGACCTCCTTCCAAAGAATAAATTAGTCCTCTCCTACACAAAAATAAAGCAAGATACTGTCCAGAAATGGTGACACCAATCTGCATGGACTCCACGGGGGCCCTGCACAGCAGGCACAAACCAAGAGGCCTGAAAGCCTTGAGCACAATGAGGCAGGCTCCTCAGCGCAGTGACAGGAAGGTGTGGAGGGTCTGCTGTGAGCAGAGAAAGCCATCGGCTTCCCACTCCACCTTGGGGTCAGGGCAGAGGCAGAGCAGGGCAAATGGCTATGGAAAATGCAGCCAAGTAAGTGGCTGCTGCTGCTGCCTCTATGCAGGAAGCAAGGAAAAGTGCAGAAAAACAAACCCGTGCTCATCTCCATCCAGAAGCTCCAAGTGGAGAATGAGGGAAAGCCATTATTCTCCCTTCGAATTATAGCAGCACCAACGACACTGAAGTTTTGGACGGATTTGTTTTCCTGGGGAAAGGTCTGAGGCCAGTGACAATGCAGATGGAGCATGGAGAGGCTGGGCTTTTCGTAGGGGTGTGCACAAGCAGACTTTGCCTTGCACCTTGGTATTTCTAGTATGATTCCAGCAGAGTTTCTTTTAAAAAATAATACTTTGTACATTCAGGCATTGCTGCCTTGGGGCAGCGTCACCTCCCATTTGGCACAAATCGTTTTATTCACAAACCTTTCTTCTCTCTCCTGAGTCTTTCCTGTTTAATTCAGGACACAGAAGATCCGTCTGCGATGCAGAGTTCAAGAACTGCCCACTCAGCCCCTTGCCCACCTCCTGCCAGCTCTAGGCCTGGAGGCAGCAGATGCAACCCTCATGCAGACTGGCAATGCGAGAGGGTCTTCCCAGAGCACCTGGGCATCTCTGTGTGTCTTCAGTGAGGTGGGATTCTTGCGGGGGGCTGCCAGTGCCTGCCCCCAGAGCTGCAGCTCATGTCTTCATCTCCTCCCTTGGAGGCAGTGGCTGCAGCCACTCAGATCCCACTGGTTAGGTCAGTGATGACTCGGGCTTTCACCAGCTTCCGCAGGAACTCCTTCTCCCGCTGAATGTTGTGCGTCCAGGACTGGAAGGAAACGGGAGAGACAGGAGGTCAGCAGCTATCCTGGCCGAGCATGCTCCTGACCCCCATGTTGCGGGAGACTCCAGCTGAGGCAGGGCAGTGGCTTCTGCCAAGGAGACAGAGCCTGCTGCAGACCAGAAAAGCCCTTGCAGACCAAGGGCCCTCTCTTATCTAAAGCCGATACAGCCAGCAGGGTCAGACCCATGTACCTGACGTAGGAGGCCTCCCCATGGACTGGGTGAAGTGGTTTTGGCATGGTGAGGTCTGGGCAACCCAGGTACCTTGGGCAGATGTACCTGGTTACAGTGCCCTCCCAAGCCACCCCACACGAGTCCAACAGCGCAGCATTAACAGTGACGTACGCCAGGGAACAGAGCTGGCAGAGAACACGGCGGCAGGATGCGTCGTACCCACATACAGCTCCCTGCCAAGGGAGGTCCCTGAGCAATGCATGGGGTGCATGCAGCTGAAAAGCCCCAAGACCAGCCCCATCAAGGCTAGTTCTTGCCTCTGCTAGCCCCATCAAGAGGAAACCACACGCTAAAGGTTACACTAATACAATGCGAATGGTGAAATGGTCGCATCTCCCAGCCAGTGAAAGCAGTAAGTCGCTTGTCTCCCTGGGGAGACCAAGGCAGAGCAGGGAAAAGCAACTTTCCCCAAAATCTCCCAACAGGGCAATAATCCCAGTAAATGAAGCCAGGTCTCCAGCACAGTGCTCTGGTCAGGAGGTAATCTGAGCTCTAAATATGATCTGGAGCATGACAAAATCACTCCACAGGAGCCTCCCTGAAATTGCCTCAAACTTGACAAAGGACCAGCCCAATGAGCCCTCTGAGGGCGCTTTGTCATAGGTATCTAAACCCAGTTTACCGACTGCAAAACCGTGGGCACCTGCCTGCAAAGCACTGGTTGTATCCATCACACACAACAGGCATGTGGCTTTCCTGTCATCTGGACAGGACAGGACAAGCAGCTCTCAGCCATGACTGCTGTGTGGCACTGACAGCCCCGGTCATGGCATGCAGCCTGCTGCCAAGAGGTCCAAGGGAGTGATGGTCCCTCTCTAGATCTCCAGCACACTTTGGAAATACCTCTCTTGCCGCTACTGTGCATTTACAAGCCACTTCCATCCCCTTGGTGCACAGGAATGACGACAGCTAAAGCTGCTAAGGAAAGTTCAGGCAGGTCTTATCTTGTAACCTGTGTTCCAAAGAACTATTTGACTTCCTCTGCTTCCAGTGACACTGTTACCTGAATGCTGCAAAGGGTGCACCAGCACCAGACACAACAGGGCCACATGTGGTAAACTGCTGGTGCTCTTTGGGACTCTGAAAATGCAGAAGACCTTGTCTCTAAACTGAAAAGACACTGCCCAGAAACAACTTGGCTTCTGCTAGCATAAAAGCAGAAACTGAAAACTGGCACTGGGAAGAAAGCTGGCTGTAAAAGGAAAAAAGCATGAATTTCAGAAAGCAGCAATGGGAGCGATGGTGGTGCAGAGCAGAGGGACCTGGGAGAGCAGGGGCTGTGTGTGCCTGTCATTTGCAGCCAGAGAGCCAGGATCCCTCAATGTGCTGGAAATGGTCCCACATGTGGCATGTCAGCTGGGGGTCCCAGGCTTGGCCCCCGCCATGCAGCAGCGTCTCTTCTGACAGCACAGCCCCTTGCTAGGAACGCACGGCACCGGCAGAGGCAGCCAAGTGTGAGTGTGTGCTCCTGCCAAGAGGCAGTGAGCAGCTGTCGGCTGGCACAGGGGCCACGCTGAGAACACCGGGTCTCAACGCATTCACTTACATCTGGCTGGGCTTGTTGTTCAAAGCCTATCTGGAGCACCAGGGAACCAGATGTGCCTGATATGTCACAGCACAATCTGATCCCTCCTTCATGGCTTTCAGCCTCATCAAACACTACGAGAAGCCAATTGGTTTCACCCAGGACAACCTGCTTGCGTCCCTTGGTACAGATGGTAACCAGGGAAGCAGCCACTTCTAGGCAAACTCAAACCACCTAAAACGTCACCTCAGGCCACATGCAAATGCCTTATCTGATGGCAAGAGGAAATCTGCTTTGTGAAAGGTACAAGTGGAGCAGGAATCTAAGTACAGGAGGTGGATAATAAAACTTTGGGTGATACCATTGCAGTCTCTAATGCTACAGCTAGGTCTGGCTCCAGCACTGATTGCAGAGCTGCTGGCAAGACCTATAAACCTCAGGCTGTTCAGCATCCAGGCTGCTCTACACCCTCAGCACTGCCACCAACTCCTCTTTCCAAGTAGAAAGCCACATGTAAGGGAATTCAGCATCCCACTTGATCCCTAGATCTTAGTGGTGTTTGCGGCAGCACTCTCAAATGTTTTGTGGTTGAATGTAAGACCACAGAGTAAGAGGATTCCCTGGTGAGGATGGGCTGTTGTCCCTCCCAAAGAGCACGAGCAGGGCGCTCGGTGCGGTGCGGCGCGGCTCCCCCCACACCCGACAGCAAGGCGGGCAGGAGGGATGAGGCATGTCTCCAACACCAGCTCCGGTTACTGATTACACGAGAGGGACTCACCCCACTGACAGACAGCGCTAATCAGCAGAAGGAAGCTGCATTCCAGCACTAGTGGCGGCAGTGGGGAGAAGAGCCAGAGCAGATTTCTCAAAATTGCCAGACAGAGGCAGCCACCTCGCTCTCATTGCCCTGACAGGGGAAAGGCAACAAAATACACCCTAAATCCCAGCAGGTTTTAGGGTGTATACACCCTAAATAGCACCGTGGGTAGCACAGCCTAGGTAGCACACACCGCTGGCAGGGCCTGGCAGGCGGGAGGGCTCTGTGAGGCGGCTGCAGGGTCTCAGGAAAAGCCAGGCCTTGGCAGGCTCAGGAGGCCAGGACAACATTATGGCTGTTGTAAGGGGAAGTTCTCTTTTGCTATCCCTCACTGGGTAAGCCAAGGTGTTCTGTGTAACCAAGCTTGCAGGCAAGTTGTCCTTGAAATCTTTCAGCTGATGCAGTGGCCTGAGCTGCAGGAGGATGATAAGACAGAGGCAATGCTCCGGCCACCTGCGTCCCCACGGACAGCGTTGTGCTGCCAGAGTGCTTGTTCTGACATTTTAAACAGAGGATTTGTGAGCAGGATCCATGCCTGGAGGATGATTACACGAAGCGGCTGCAATGCTGTTGGTTTATTCCTGCTACTACTGCAAAGAAGCATTTTCCTGCCCTTGGATGCTGGATGCACTTTGGTTGTGCTGGCAAGATACTCACTGTCCCTTCTGACCGCTTTGACCCCCTCTTCCTGTGCACACCGAGCTGTTACTGCCTCATTTCCTATTCCTGTATGTGGGACTGTTCACGTTCACAAACCTCCTGCCCCAAGTTCTGAAGCTACACCTCAGCACCACAAGCAGAAAACCCCAGCTCTTCTTTCATGAATCTGCACCTCCAGAGAGCGACGGAGCATCGCAGAGCATTCACTGCCATCTCCACTTTCTTGTCCCTGCACGTCACCACCACTACCGCTGCTCCTGCAACCTGGTAGACTGGCTCTGCCCTCTCCTGCCTCTGCCGCTCACATCGAGCAGGCGTCCGGCACAGCTTCCACTTGTGCAAACAAACGGGCTGCTTGTCTGAGCCTATGGCTGGAGTAATGAACTTCTGGGAGTTCCCACAGGAATGTCCCAGGAGGCTCCAGAGCCCTTCTTGTTCTTTGGGGATCAGGCTGGGATTTCCTTTGCTTTGGGTCTCTCCCTGAGTAGCGGATGTTTGCTCTTTTCAGCCGAGAGAGAAACAGCAGCAGAGCTGCTCTGCAAGCACATGCAGGGTTACGGCTGTCCATCCCAGGGAGGTGGCAGTGGGTCTGATTGTTTGGTCACAGTTATTAGATCAAAATTTATCATCAGTTAAAGCCACCTTTCAGGGTTATGCAAATGCAGCAGCCCCCAACCACCTGTCCTTTTTTTCTTGATGATTCCACGAGGAAGGACAAAACATCCTCTGTCCCTTCAAGAGAAGTCAAGTAGAAGTCTAAGAAAATGTTTCGAGAGACCAACCCAGGAGGAAGGTAAGCTCCCCATCTGTAATCAATTAAGATCAGGGAATGCCTCAGCTTCAGAGCACATTAGTCTTATCAAACATATTGCAATATCTTAAAATACAGGAAGATTAAAATCAGAGAGAGTGAAGTCAATAAGGAATGTACTCAAGAAAAACAGTAAGTTGTAAAGCAGGGTTTCACGGTTCTGTTACATCCTCCATACTTCTGCAAGCCAGCAGCATTTCTTCCCGAAAACCTACACAGAAACCACAGGAGCAGCAAGAAGTGCTACTTCACTGGCAACAGTCGGTTTCCAGTCTCCACCAGTGCTAATTTATCTCTGCCTTTAACCTTCACTGCCTCGTCTCTAGAGCTGCTTATTTTTCATGGTTCTGCCTTGCCCACGCCCTTGCTCTGGTGACCACGCATGCTGGGTGTTTTATGGCCACTCTTCAGCCGCAGTTTCACCTCCCAGTGCACCTCCCATGGCACCAGTGCCCTGCCTCGGGCAGGACCAGTTGTTCGCTCCTCTCCCAGTCCATCTGCTGGGATTTGGCAGCACCACAGACTGCCCTGTCCTACCTGCATCCCCTTGGTAGTCGCACGTACTGAAACAAAAGGGAGGGCTGGGCACCCTCATCTTTTCATGTTTAGGAGATTTACTCATAGCTCCTTTATGCCCAGTCATTCTTATACCAACTTCAATTTTTAAACAGCTTTTTTAGGTCTTGCTTATTCTCAACACATACAGAGAGCGCAATTGTATCTCTTCTCAGTCTTCATTTTACCAAGCTGAACAAGCCATGTCTTCCTTCTGCCAAAATGGGCTGTTCATTTACCCTATGAAAACTGGGAAATTTCCCAGAAGTGTAGTAGCTCCCTCTGTCCCTATTTACCCCAAATTTACTTTTTCTGAACCAGAAAAAAAGCTCACCATTGCCTCATGCAGAAGCAATTCTCTCTCTCTCTCCAAGAAGTCCTTTC